AGTGTTCGGGTTTGCTTGTGCTCTGCTTTACATTGTAAGTGATGGTAAGGAGAGTTAGTTTTATAAATAAATGTAATTTTTAAAATCTAGCGCTGCAGTCTGTATCTGCAGATTCATATGTTCTTCATTTTTATAACATTTTTTCCTTTTATAATWGCTTTAAAAATTAATCTCTTTATGAGTCCTGGAGGGACTTGGTATCTCAAAATGTAAGTATTCTGTGCTTTCTCTCATCTCATAATGAAGGGCAATCTACAGTTTAGTTGGTTTGGTTAGTTAGTCATAGGATAGTGAAAGAGGACACAAATGTTTGATGGAGCACATTGCAAGGATAAGCACAACAGCAAAAAAAAAAAAAAAAAAAAATGAGATGAGCTATTTTTATTACCCTAACATGTTGGTTCTTAACAGCTCTATGTTATCTATATTTGCATGTAGTGCAGTTGGGGAAGTAGTCAGATGAAAAGTCAAAACTCCTTTCTGAAAGTGACTGAGTCATGTGCTGATTCACTGTACACAGGCACCRTGTGCTCCACATATTTGTGTTGGACATTCCTGCACTAGCTTCCTGTCTGCTTCACCGGGGGACCTTGCTTAAAAGAGCCCGATTGGGGTGAAAATCAGTGAAACAGAAACAGTGCCCACTACAGCTCACGGGCTCATGGACACAGGGCTCGTGACAGGTCGCCCAGAGAGGTTGTGGAGATCTTCAAACCCCGCTTGGATGCAGCCCTGCGCCACATGCTCTAGGTGACTCTGCGTGTGGAAGTGGGTAGGACTGGATGAGCGCTTGAGGTCCCTTCTAACCTCAACCATTCTGTAATTCTATGACTTGAACTGAAAGTTATATAGCTCTTTTAAATGTCACAGGTGGCTTATTTGGTACAAAGGTAGGCCTCATCCCTGAAGTCTATGAGATGGAATTTAGATATACAAATATTTGCATGACAAAAGCAGGGTGTGGAGAGCATTCCCATTGCTTTAAGTCATGGCTTGGAGGACACACTCCCTTCACTGGTTGCAGGGATTATGCGTGAGTGTCCCATAGCTGAAGGGCGTGTTTCCCCTCCAGACTGAAAACACCTGGACGTGATCCTGACAAGAGGTGCCCCTGCTTGTGCACAGGACTAGATGGTCTCCAAAGGCCCCCTCCAACCTCAATCATTCCATGATTCTGTGATTTGTGCTAAGCTGTGTAAGATGAAACTGGGCCCCTCTGTGGAAACTCCTGTGACCCAGCGCAGCTCMCTCCCTCTCTTGCTTCCCTGACATTGCCCTTGGTACAGGAAAGCTCCCACCGCTGGAGTTTGAGGAGGGCAGGCAGGGAAAATCTCATGTCCAAGAAAACAATCTGAAGTAAAATAACTACCAAAAGTTGTAATGAGGATGGTAGAAGAGTGGGGGGTTTTGTTTGCTTTTAAGACTGCCAGGACAGAGTTGGCATGTTTTTAAATGCTGTGCTTTGCTCAGCCATTTGGCTTGTGGCAGACCTGTAGTGCTTGTTCTGTTACAAGCAACTTATATAATGTGGAAGGAGTCAGCCAGCCTCACGTGCTTCAGCACTGAGCAACAGGTAATTTGTCAGTATGAGGAAGACAATACAGTAATAAGAGAATCTTCTCCCCCACTTTTTTTTTTTTTAACCCTTTTTTCTCCCCCAGAAAACAGAAAACTTCATGCTTATGAAAAGGCTTCATGCTCRTATTGGAGAGAAGTGGCACTTTCTCTCTATGCCTGGCACATGCACGGTAGTGCTGTACCACATGCAGGCCTTCCTGATGCTATCGTGACAGCATCTCAGTTCCCACATGAAAATGAAGCCTTCAGGGCTCAAAAAAACTGCCCAAGMCAGCTCAGGCATTTCAGACATTGCTATTAAATCTTCTTGCTAAGACTAACAGAGCATTAAAACCAAATGGAGATTTCCCTATAGCTTCAGCCAGAGCAGACCAAAGTCCAAGCTATGGACTGATGCAAAGCACCCACATTTGCTAGATAGCTGTGAGATCTGTTACTTGAGCAAGAAATTGCCTTCACATAAATCACAGTCCAAAACTTTAAAATGGGATATTGCAGACCCAGACATTGCTATAATATTAAAAAGAGGCTACATGTGCATTAAACTGCCACGTGACTGAGCATACTACTTGGAGTGAAGCAGAAAGAGCGAGACAGAGCACTATTAGTGACCCCAGTAATCTGATTTAAAGCACTTGGACACCAAATCTATATGCAGGATCCTATCTAGCAAAGTACTGCTAAACCTCTATACGAGACTCTATGTGAAAGCTAAGCAATTTCTTTGGTATTTTTCTGGACTGAGGCCTCTGAATTCTTCTAACGAAGAGTATAATTGTGGCTCCTCTGACCTTTAGGTGGCTTAATGCAGGCATCCAAGCCGGGCTGCTGCGCATTGTGGTGCGGGAGTTCTGGTTTGGCTTTCCCTTCCTACACCTACGAGCGGCATGCCAGCCCCATGTGCTCAGCAGTGAAAATAACCCGCGGCACGGAGGGGAGCGCCGCTGGGCGCGGGGCTTCGCAGCGGCCTCGCTCTTGTAAAGCCCTCTGCAGGTGGTGTAACATGACTTCTTATGGAATTGAGTAAAATTTCAAAGGTTTTGCAATGCAAGTCTTTGGAATTACCCTGCAACATATCTGTCCATTATTGCTTCATTTTAGCTGACACTTTTTTTTTCCAGCTAAAACAGCTTTTAAATTTTTTTTTTTTTTCAGTGTGGAGTGACAGAAATGAGAAGAGAGAGATGCATGGCACTGTAAGATTTAATCCTAAACTCTACAATGACTTACCATTGCATGTGCGTGCATTGTGAACTATGGGATCTTGAGCACAGTTTTATCCCCTTCCAATAGGCACAGAGCCGATCTCTTTCAGGGATCAAAATTTGCAATATTGAAGGGGAAAAATAAGAACCCCTGATTCCCCTTACAGTTATTTCTATAATTGCTTATGTAAATTCTCTGTAACCAATTTAAGCTTCCTTAGATGGATGAATTAAAGATATGTATTTGTGTGGTTGAACATTCTGTTATTAAAAATTGAGGTGCCCTTCCTGAAACCAGGAGGTTTTACTTCTGCCCCTTATTTTATGTGGTTTTGTATTTAAAAAAAAAATGGCCTAAAAGATAGTCAAGCACTTGTCATCAAATCTAAACAAATRTAAGTGCAGGTTTATTGGGTTTTGGAACAATTTGGGCAACACTAAGTAGTCCTGTGAATGGGGAAATAGGTCTGCAGAGGAGAAGAGCTGTGTTTGAGGAGTAAAAAGCAGCAGCGCAGTGAGAAACCTGTTTTGGGTAAGCTCAGCRAAGAGCTGAGCTCGGGCTCTTGGGCCAGCCTCCTGTTTTCCAATACTGGGGGCACTGAATGAATAAAACTGTTTCGTGCTTGATTCTGTGCAAAAGGGACTGGTAGCTTTGTCTTGGAAGTGTTGCTGATAGGTAGATTGAAAGCCAAACAAGGAGCAGAGTCTGTTCTTGTTTCTGCCTTCTCTCTGTGGGAGGTTTCTACCCCTTCAGCAAGAGCGCGGGCGCTCCAACAAGTCGAGTGCCCGCGTTTGGCAGAGCGGAGAGGCCGAAACTGCGGTGAAGGGGGCAGAGGGGGAGCCGCCATCGCCAGCAGCCTCCCGAGGGGCGGCTGGCGTCGGCGCAGAGATGGCCGTGTCCCAGTGCTGCTCTGGACACCGGCTGTAGCAAATGCTGATGYGGCGACTTGGGCGGCTACACCGTAACTGATGGGGTGGGAACATCCCGTAGCAGGCTGGAAATGGGTAACAGGCACGAAGAAGAGGGAAGAGGGAAGTCTTTAAATGGTATATTAATACTAATGACTAAAAACAATAACTGAAGTTTATTATTTTTGTGAATAACTGAACTAGTCACTATCTCTAAGTAAAATTCTGCGCCAGTATCTTCTAACTGGAAAGGCCTCTTCAATCCTGATCCCCTTTTAGGTGCTCAGGGTAAAAGAGTTAAGAGCTGAGCACTTCAGGCTGCTCAGAAGCTTCAGTTAGTCCCTATTCATTAATCAGAGCTTCATTAATCACTATTAATGATCAGATGGAGCTTTCACTGGGGCTGTGGCTTCACGAGTAGCTCTTTGTGGCACTAGTGCCATCACCTGGCTCTTCATGGTGGTTTGCTGTCCACCTTTGCCCTCATACTCATTTCTGCCAGCATTGCTGTTTCTGTGACTGCACAGTGATCAGCAAAGGAATGCTTTTATTAAAAGAAAAGTTCCTTTCCCCAAGTTATTTTCCTCAGTACAGTTCATGATGTGCCCAGAGAGAGGTTATCCTGACACAAGTAAGGTTGTGGTGGCACGAGGTGGGAATAAGCTGGAGGGAGCAAAGTGTTAAGGCCAASAGTGTCGCTGAAAGAGCATGCTTGTAAAATATGCCTTGTTTTGCATGTTCATAGGAAAAAAACACCGATATTTTGTGTATGTGGTTGCCCCTCAGGGCAGCCCTTCTGTCCTGCTTGGGCAGGAGATGGTGCGTGGGGCTCCCTGTGGGGACCCCCCTCGGGCCGCCTGAGGCCTCAGGCCGCAGGGCCCTGCTCGGGCCTCCTCCCAGCAGGGGAGGAAGGCGCCGCTGCTCCCTGCTCCGCTCCTGTCCCTGGCTGGCACCGGTGGCCTTTGCCGCGCAGCTGGTTGCCTTGCACTGTCCTCTGGTGGCAAGGCTGCCTGCCGAGCAGCCGCGCGCCGTCGCCCTTCCCCGGGATCCTGCCTCAGAAGTGTGCACTTCTTACAGTTTTGCAGGAAAAAAAAAAAACAGCACAAGCTCTTACCATAGGTAGCTCAGCACTTTTAGAATTGCACAGAGTCAAGCAGAGGATGGTGAATATTGAAGTGTTACCTGGAATCCACCTAACTGTAATGATGTAYGAGACTAGTTCTAACTCCACCAGTTACCCGGTTGATAACTGATAGCTCTTCTAATAGCAAAGCCAGTCACGTGCCTGTTTCTCCGCTCTTCCACAGGAGGAAGCGTAGTTCTCCCAAGAAACTGAGTTCCAGCTACAGACAGCGTCACTTTTCTTCCTCAGTGGAGCAGTAATTTGTGGCACTTTTGCTGTCCAGGGGACAACAGTTAGGTAAGGGTTCATGATTTTCATGAGTTCAAGCTGATGGAAAGATGGCACTGTGCAAAGGGAAAATCAGCGTTCAATTTTGGGCCATCTCTTGCTCAATTACACTATTGAAAAAGTTTTAATCTATGATCTCTTTCCCATTTTTGGCTAGTAGTTGCAGCTCCGAGCAGTTCAGTTTTGTTTGTTTAACCTTGTACAGTGATTGCCCTGTGGCCATCAGGGGAGGTCACTAGGAATTCAGTTGCCATCACTTATGGCAACTTAAAATCTGTCTCTTACTCTGTAGGCAAAGCTCTCTCATGGAATACTAAGCCCAGCATCAATGTTCTGAATATCCTGCTGAATTGCAYGACCTTTCCGTGAGTGCAAGAGCCAGGCTTGGCATATGCACTGACCTTGCATTTCATCACCAAATTGTTGTCTAACAAGACATTGCTATAATGTTATTCTGAYATACCATAGACTAGACCTTAAAAAGGATGCCAGATTTGTTGTCTGCTAATGTCTGACTATGTCGACGATTTGGCTGTCTGYTGTGAATGGGCAAAAAGCCTGGGATTTTTGCCTATAAGTGCTTTGAAGCAAAAGTGCTTTCGTCTGTCTGGCCTCCAAGACCACTGTTGAAGACTTGGCAGATGGACAAATCCTCAGCTTACGTCATTTGCGTGAGAGAACTGAACAATTAAKTTAACCCTGCTCCAAAGCTGGGGAGGGAGGAGTGGCAGATGTCTGAAAGATGGACAAAATGTCCTGCAAAGTATTGCTGCTACTGCATCCATGAAGAGTTATTGCTGTGTGAAAAATAGAAATCCAAGTCTGTGGTTTGTCACAAAACCCACATTCTTCTGTGCCTGTGCTAAGTCAGTGCTGAGCTGCTGTTTGCTTCAATGACTTGCTTTGTGTATAACATGGCTTTCTAACATCCTACAGGTTTCTAAGATGCTGAAGGATTCCTTAGACTTAGACTTTAGCTCATGTATGGTCCAGCATATGTGAGATCCTGTTCAGTTAAAAACATTAGTTCAAGTGAACATCTTTTCCCAGTCTTGTCAAGGCCTGATGCTTGCTACAACTGGCCCTTTGCTGCTGCTGAGGCTTGAGATGAAGGTGTGCATCTCRGATGAATACCATGACCCATACACATAGATGACAAGGTATTGACACCAAGTAGCCCTTACAGGGTCAAGAGGGAAAATATATGCTCCTAAATTAGGTGTTCCAAAATGTCAGTTGAGCACCACTGAGTATGGCTGTGTTAGATCCCTAAGGCTAAGTAACATCAACAGTTCTGCCTTATGACTAGTCTAAAATGCTCCTCTTAAAAAAAAAAAAAAAAAAAAAAAAAAAAAAGGATTTCACAATGAAAATAGGTCTGCAGCATATCTAATAATACACCCTTTTCCATCTGTTCTGCTTTCCTTTAAAAACAGAAGAAGAAAAACAATATTTTGATAATATATTTAAAGAACCAGAGCATTGTCCAAGCTTAAAAATGAAGAGACTGCACCTGATTTTCAGAACTTAATATTATGATTTCAGCTTTGGGTTTCTATTGATGTACCTGTTGCTTCTGAGGCTCTCTGGCTTTACAGCAATATAAAAAATGATTCAAAATCATAACAGAAAATTATTATCTCACATACAAAGTTTCACATAGGTTACATGCAGAAGAATTCCATAAATATACTGGTTCATAGGCTTTCCTAAAGCAGATGTGAATTGTGTTAGTGGTTGAAATCCAGTCCAGTGGACAACTTGTAGTCAAGAAATGTATCTTTAGTTCAAGCACAGAATTAATCTTGACACAAAAGCGCTACCAAACAGCTTTTACTAAGCAACAACAAAAATTGTGTGGCGGACATTGCCTGCTTTTCTGTTTTCTTAAAAAACTTCTCAAGGAAATATGCAGTTGAGGGAAATGTTTTAGCACAGGCCCTTCTGTGCYTCCTGGGTACAAGCCCTTCTGCTTTTGTTTGTTTGCTTGAGATTTTTTTTTTCATGTTGGAAATAACGCTATTGCAGCTTGATATATTGTTTGGCTCGTGCATGTTAGAGATTTATGGACATAGGTGGTAAGAAATGCCAGTAAGTGCCTGTTCTGAGTTTTTCATTAAATTAGAAGAATTCCGTAACCTATTCYTTACTCTTTTACCAGAACTTTTCATACATATCTTTGAAAATTATGATGTGCCAAGCCCTTTATAATAAGGGCTAAATAAATAAGGGTTAAATAATCCTTTAAAAAGGATTATTTAACATATATCAGTGGCATTTTGCAGATATATTTTTTCCAAATTAATATTGTTTATATATTGCTGAATATTGCTTATTGCTTTTAATTTTGCTGCTTAATCATCTTTTCTCCACACTTGCACACAAAGATCAAGCCGCTGAATTTAAGTACATTTTCCTACAAGATTTATTACATTCAATTCTCTGATTTATATCAGTAAAACTGGGAAGTCTATTTACTGTATAAATAAAACAGTACCAGCAGAGTAGAGGTTAGAGATAATATTTGCATAGAAGATTTTAGATGCAAAGAGCATATGTGTAAATTGCAAAACATTTAGAATGAGATTCTGAGTTGAAGAAATCATTGTAGTTCCCTGGAAGTTACCAATTCATGTATGTTTGGAATCAAAGTAATAAACTTCAGAGAAAAAGAAAGGAGAGTTATGCACGGGACCTGCCAGTGGGAAAGTCTGTAGGCTGCCAGAAAAATACACAGCAGAGATGACAGCACTTCAGCTGCTGGAACTTTTGTGTACTGGTTCTGTAGGTCTGGAAGTTTGTGTTTCTGTGGTTTCTTACATACATAAGAAAATAGAATATATAAAACATCACTGAGTTGTTCTCTGAAGTTATTAAAACACTTAAATGAGGCAGCCACTGGATGTCTCTCTTGGTCTGTTTACATGAAGCAAGAGCGGCCTTTCAGAGAGGGAGAAACCTATGGAAGATAAATGGTCCCTGTGGAAAGAGCAGGGGTGCCCAGCTGATGGAAATGGTATGGCACARTTCCTGATATTGCCAGCTCTCAACATGCTGGGCTGTAAACACAAGATATAAGTAAGACCTGCAGCTGAGAAATGCATTTTTCTTAAGTTACAAAATCATTTCTCATCAGCCCCGTTGTTTTTTTTTTTCTAGAGCCCAACAGAACTATATTAAATATATATTAAATAATCTGCTGCCAATAACTGAATATTGTTTGAGAGAATAAGTTAAAATCAGCAGAACTGTTTTCTATCGTTGCAATATGTAAGCAGATACTGTGTTAGGCTGGATAATGAAATGCACCAGATACATTTTCTATTTTTCTCCCCATGATTCCTGGCTGAAGTCAGTTGACATTCACAGTAATTTTAGCTAGACAAGAACCAGATTTGCCTTTTTCAGAAAAATCTGCAACTTCTATTCATTTCTGCATTCCCACACAGAATCAAGAGACACATTCAGAAATTCTCATGACATGATGTTCTGGAAAAATAAATGGTTGGTGAACTTTTTATTTCCTCACGTCAGTCAAATGTACAGGATCAGTCTAGTTTTGCCCGCCTTATTGCTTGAGCAATGAAGATCTCTCTGCACCCACGCCTTCACACATTGCTTGTCTGTGCATCAAGAGGTGAGAGAAAATAACGAATGCAGGAAAACGTTTTGAAAGTTCTTCTAAGGTTAAGTATCAAAAAATTTCATAAAACTTCATAGCATATTTGTAGCTTCCCAGTACACTGCAGTAGGGAAGAGCAGAGTGAAGCCTGGAGTGATGATTTCAGAAAGACCTGAGTGCTGAGAAATTAAAGTTAGTGACTTATCTAGGATAATACAGGAATTTGGGACTGGGAAGGAATTGATCAGAGATCTTTTAAGTTTCAGGGGAATGTTTCAGGCTAGATCGTTCTCCTGCTCTTCAGGGCTTTAGCCTTTTCTGAGAAGAGTTTTATCTGTGTATCATGGGATAGTATGTCTATATTAATGTTMCTTTTTTAATTATTCAAGTTAACTTTGCTAATAAATTCTGTGAGGATTTTCGGCTTATAAAAAGCTTGATGTCTTCAAGAACCTTGCTAGATTTTTTCAATGTCTCTCGGTATATATAATATGAATCAMGTAACTTTTGACCTCAACGTTTGCCTAGCATTTGAGATCTTATGTGTCTGTCAGTATTTAGGGGGACTATTGGAACGAAGTGATATATCTTCCTATACATTCTTTATAACCAAAGTGGAATTAAAATGAAGTGCTGTTTCCCTGCCCATAGCAGGAAAAAAGGCAAACTACCATGCAAGTGGAGGAAGAAGTTCAGAGTTYACTTTTTGGATTATTTTCTCCTACCAAATCAGAACTAAGCGTCATCGCAAAATGTGGTTTCTTTTCATAGCTTTCAGTGATAGATTTAGTGATTGCTTCAGCGTTCATTATTAATTAGCTTATGCCATATCACGCAGCAATATTTGCCCCGGGTGCTGTCAGAACTCCCCGCCGTGCACRTTTAACTAAAAGTTGGCAAAGGGAGATGTGAAGGGAAAGGGCTGGTAACATATGCTGATGAGGGCAGGAGGGAATTCTGAAGTTGTATTTTCAGCCCTAAGGAAACTTCTGTCTAATTCAAGAATTATGGAGAGAAGCTGGATCTCTAAGTATGTTCATAATGARAGAGGGCCTTCTTGGAGCTTAATGTAAATAGAATGAACTGCGTAGTTCCCTTAGCGTAGTCCTCCATAGAGGACTTCAAAGCCGRTAACTGAGCTCACGTAGGTCAAGGCAGAGCAGGGACTGGTTCCTGAAACGCTTCGTTTCCCTTCTCCGTGTGCAGCGGTTGGAAATCAGCTCATGCCTTCCAGTTGCATAGAAGCAAAGCAAACCAGAGGAACCGTTGGGAAAGCGTCCGTCTAGGAGAAGGCGAGGGGAGAGAAGGGCTGGGAAAACAGAACTCTTTCTAAATTAAATTTCCAGCTAAATTTGCCAAAGTTTCCTAGTGAGGAATTCCTGGGAAA